TTAGCACTTGTTGTAAGTTGTAACTCAGTTGTCAACAGAGTTTTGTATACTTACTAAACAATAATATGGTTTTACCCCCTTATCATATTTGTTGTATGCAGACATCAAGACTAAACAAGAAATTATTCAGGCTAATGAATATAACTCCTGGGAGCTATGTTAAAATTGTATGGGTGGCATGTTTGACTGTCTATCAATATATTGGCATTCTGATACGCTCGCAGGTTTCTGTTCCTCTTCTTTTCTGAGTATTTTGAGTTTTTCTTGCAGTAAAAATTGGGCCAATCAATACGCCAATTAGTCGGGGACTTGGCCGGGTACAACTATGGGTGTTTCTAGCAATTGTTGGTTGCTGTTAGACATTCCTTTTGTCTGGTGTATGCGTGTCCGCTTTTGTAGGGTGATGGGTTCCTAAATTATTACGGTTGCATGCAGTTCCTCATTTATGTGCCATGCACGATTTGGCTACGCTGCATGTGCTTTTTTTTAATAGTTGATTCTGTTTTTTTAATGAATTTATGTTGGCCTTGATATTTTTCATATAAATAAAATATTATCTCTTGGAAATTCAAATAATTTTGTATATTTATAAGTTTATTCTCCACTGTTTTTCCTTTTTTTATATAAAAGATATTATCATTGACACATTGAAACGTATTAAGTTCAAATATGTTTGTTAAGCATAATGAATGAATGCCAAAAAGTGCAACCAGTTTTAATTGAAAACAAAAGTAGTATTTTAAACAATTTTGTATAAGGATTTATTGTTAGTGTGATATGATTTTCAATATCTGGTTGTGTGTTTCCTCCTTTCAAGAATTTAAAAGGTGATTCTTCACTGTTATGTCTCCGACTTTGTATTTCGGTTTATGTATTTTCATCAGGACACGAGTTAATCAAACTTGTTATCATTCGATATGAGGACTTCCACGCTACAAATGTAACATCTCCTACTATATTTCTCCTCACCAAGATGACTACTTTCGAAATGAGTTTTCTTCCACCAAAAGTTTACGGAATATCCACAAAGAGATCTCTACATTCAACATACCCCATATCTGCGATTCTCAAAACGTATCAATCAACACAATTATTAAAACACAAGAAAAAAGGAAGAAAATTATCATACAACCCATAAGTAAATTAATCTACTTTATCTTCTCCATCTCTAATCATTGGCAATGCCCAACTATGTTGTTCATCTATATTTTCATCACATGAGAGCCAAAAGTAGCATATACTATACATGCACACCGTATCGATGGGCGCGGCGTGCGGAAAAGCTAGTCTGCTGCTAGCCGAGCCACGACAGTGCGAAGCTGGCCTCCAGTAGCAATCGATCCACTCCGAGACGTGCAATCTAGTACACTCATCGGGACACTAGCAGAACAGCCCCACATCTGCTCCGATCTGGCCGGGTTCTGCCCCACATCTGCTCCGATCTGGCCGGCGCAAGTGCGTGCGTACTCCACCGTCGTGGATCCGGAGTGTTAGAACTAATCTATCTAGTCTTTCCTAATAATCAATATACTCAACATTCCCCCGCAGTTACAACGGGAGCGACGCAGACGGTGAGACTGGAGAAGAAACTGAAGGCAAGCCGACGGACACCCCCCCACAGTCGTAACGGTCGATGCATCACGGAGTTGTGGCTGGAGTGAAAACCGACGAGGTTGCTCAAGCAGGCGGTAGTCCTTTGTGCCGTTTGTCGATGTAGCCGAGAGCATGGGTGGTGGATCCGTGGTCGAGGTAGCCGTGTGAAGAATGCCGTGGTCGATGTCGAGTCGGGTAGCCGGTGTCGAGGAAGTCACCGTGGAGCCGCGGGCGCAAGGAGGCGCCGAGTTAGTCGTGGGCGCAGTGGTGTCGAAGTAGTGGTGCGCCAGGAAGGAGATGATGTTGACGACGCGTCGCGCCGGGGTTGCCAACCCCGGGAACACATCGTAGACGAAGGCACGCGTCGGTGTTACCAGCACCGGGCATGCGTAGATGGACGAAGACAAAGTTGACGAAGCGCCGCACCAGGCTTGCCAGGCCCGGGGACACGTCGTGGACGAAGGCACGCGGCGGTGTTGCCAGCACCGGGCATGCGTAGACTGGGACCTGCACGAGCTGTACGCCATGTCGAAGAAGTTCGAGAGGCCAGCAGAGAAGGACTCGACGACGGTTGCGGCGCCAATCGACCGGGGGCCAATGTCACCCGCGGTTGTCGGAATAGATGAAGCGGTCGGGGTAGATGACGGCGACGCTGGCGACGGGCTGGTGCTGGACGAAGATGAAGGGGGTGGACGGACGGCTGCGGCGGCTACAAAGGTAGCGGCGGCGGCGGCCAAAGAAGAGCGGCGGCGGCGGCCTGACGGCGGCGGCGGCGGCCTGACGGCGGCGGCGGCTAGGTTAAAAGTGCGGCGGCGGTGCTCGAAGTAGGCGAAGAACCCTGACAGCATGACGAAGACCAACGCGGACGGTGGCGTTCCCGCGCCAAGGGAGACGGCGCGGCGCATACCACGGGAGGTCGACGCGCGGTGACGGCGGAGTGGACCGCGGGCCGCGGCGCTAAGGCCCGAAGGGGCGACGCAACGGCGGTTCGCGAGTCGGTGCAACCGCGGGGACGGCCTCGAGGCGGCAGCGGGGACCGCGTATCGCGGCACTACGGCCCGAAGGGGCGACGCAGTGGCGACGCACGAGTCGATGCAGCCGCGAGGAGAACCACGGGGCGGCGGCGCTGCGGCCCGATGGGGCGACGCAGCGGCAGCCCGATGCTCGATTGGTGGAGAGGTGCGCGGTACTCAGGACGATCTTCACGGGACCTGCGGAGGAGCGCGTCACCAACGGGCCAGGTTGGTCGCGCGGCGTAGATGAGGCGGATCGCGGCGGCAAGCGGGTGATCAAGCCGATCGCGCGCGAGGACGAGGACGCCGCTCGATGGAGGCGTGGTGGCGGCGGAGTCCTGGATGAGGCCGGCGACGACGGACGGCGTGGGACGTCGGCACCGGCACCCGGGCTGCCAATGCAGCACCGGCGCCCGGGCAGCGAGGCCCGAGCGACCAACGGAGCAGCGGCGCCCGAGTTTGAGGCAGCCGACGAGCCTGACAGCCGAGGACGAGGCCGGCAAGGTAGACCGCCGAGCCTCCGTGCAGACGTGGCAGAGGCGGGTGATGTGGATCCATCGGCGGGCCGGCGCGCGAGCAACGACTATGATTGGCCATCGCATGGCGCGAAGCCGCCGGGTCGGGGCGATGCGGGTTTCCCGGTCGGAGCAGGGCGGTGACGGCTGGCGCAGGGCGACGGGCGGACCGACGCGCAGACGGCGGCTAGCCCTGACGGGCCGCCTCGGCGCGCGTGGTCGCCGGGTCGGAGGAGAGGCCGGCTGGTCGCGCCGGGGTCGGAGTAGAGGCACTCGGGGTCGACGGCGGTGGTGGGCGACGCAAACCGATCAAGTATAGATCGGAAAATCAAAAAGTAGACGCCGATCAAAGCGACCGGCGAAAGAGAGAAAAACCCGGATCAAAGGATCGGGAAAAAGACTCTCTAGGGCAGCCGGCCAACACAGCCGGCGGACGAACCCTAGATACGGGCGGCGCGGCCCCGGTGGCGCTCATGGAGGCCGACCGCCCAGGGACGGCGCGCAGGTGCGAAAGCGGCGGTGGCTAGGGTTTAGAACCCAGAAACTGATACCATGTCAGAAGGGAGAGAGGGATTTGTGGAATAGTTCGTTGTATTGCTTGAGCCTCGTGGGATATATATAGGAGTACAATGATCAATTTGGAGTACAAGACAAGCCAGAACTAATCCTAGTCTATCTAGTCTTTCCTAATAATCAATATACTCAACACGGAGCAAACGCACATCGCCTGTCCGAAGGAGAGTAGCCAAGGATATCCGGACCTCAACGCCACCATCCCTGCCGCCGAGCCGTCCAAGCCGGATCAGATCAACAAGGCTCAACCATCGGCCACACGGCTTCGCCTGAGGCGTCCTTCGACGGCGACGAAGAGGAGGAAAGGAAGGATTTCTGTGGCAGCGGCTAGGGCGGGCTGCCTCCCGAGTCGCCCACACGAGAGCGACGCGGACACGCGGGGCGTCTAGCCTTCGAGGGAAATAAGCAACATTTACTAGTTTACCACACAATCCCACATTTTTACCTTAAAATTGAAGGAGGATTTCACTTCACCGGTCTCTGCATTAATTAGGAATGCATACAGCCTTCTAAGTGTTAGGATTTTTAATCTCGCTTACGCACCGAGCCTGGTCCTCAATAAATGTGTGAGTACCAGGAAAGCCTGGTCCTCAAAAACAAATGGAAACATAAATTCGCCTTCGCGAGAATTTGAACCTAAATGTTGGGTTTATACATCCACTTCCTAACCAGTTGAGCTGGGCTCACTCCCTTATGAGCTAAAAAGATAATTAATGAACTTGCAAATATCGGCAAAACAACAAGTATTGTTAAACAAGAAAAATAACTCATGATAAAGTAATAAAGACAAGATACGTTTTGATCAGAAAAGCTCGTAATCGATTATTTCGAATGAAAAGACCATAATAAAGGTGCTTACTATCTACTCTTGATTCAACACACTTTCACTGGATCCTGCTACCTCCTCCTGAACCATAATAGACTAGTATTATTGTTCTTTCAATGAATCGTATATTTCTCTTGAAAGTTAAAAGCGGATTAATTCTTTTACATACATCTATTTTTTCAGGCAGCCGACATCCATTATGCAGCATAGGTGTTACATCGCCTACCTTATGCATTCAAAACAGGGGGTGACCCTGGTTGACCAAAGTCAATTACATGAAGGTGATATTAACGCACACGTGTGTGGCCGGTTACCACCAAACCGTAAGAGAGAGAACTTTACAAGAGCGGTAACAATGAAAAGAGAAAAGAAGGTTGGGTGCAGAGTGTGGGAGAAGATCAGCGTAACAATCTATCTCAGAGAATCAACCCAAGACATCATGGCATGCCTGTCTTCCTCTCGCGAGCTCCAAAGCTTGACAAGATCAGCCAATTCAGATAGCATTCGAGCCGCGGTCTCAAACACCCTAGCGCGTTCCGGGCCGTCCATAAAGAAACCACGCGAGCATGGCGCCGCAAAGATGTGTCGTAGCTGACCAAACAAGTTGCAAGCCGCGGCAGAGAGGAAGAGATCATGGAGTCCCTGGGAAGATTTGGCCAATGCCCAAAGGCCAACTTCAGTGTCATGTGGCTCAATGCCGTTGAGCAACTCCATCAGTGCCTCAAGCTCCCTTGAGGCCGAAGCAGAAAGGTTTGGATGTGGTTGGATTTCCCAGTGCCCTCCTTGGAACTGAGATGCCATCGTGCAAAATTTAGCTTTAGCGAAAGAGAATAGTGTTGGGAAGGAGATCATGAGCCTTTTGCTCCCAACCCATTTGTCAAACCACAAGGAAATGTGGGTGCCATTGCCAAGCTCACACATGGCTGACCCAAGGACAAGCGGAAAGGAAGAATTGTAGGCATTTCCAGATTGCTGTATCACCATTATGATTATCCATGGGTATCGTACAGCGGCAGTAAAAACTCGCAATTTCGCAAACTGATTGTAGCAAGGCCCGTCGCTGTGCTGCAGAAAATCTTTGCTGCGAACTTACAGATCACGGAGACGTTGTGAGCTGCAGGGTCCCTCATCCCTAGCCCTCCATTGGCCTTCGTCAACTTGACAAAATCCCAGGCCACTAAACAATGTCCGCCACTTGCAGAACTCTTTCCTTGCCAAAGAAACCTTGCAGAATTTGTTCCAGCTTTTGTAAAGACTCTTTAGGCCACAAGAAGCATTCCATGAAATGATTTGGAATCGCAGCGAGCACGAAGTTGATCAATATTAGTCTGCCTCCCCAAGTAAGAATTTGTACACTCTGTGACTGACTGGCATTAGCATACCATGCGTAATTTTTTGGGTAGATAAAGGAAGGCTTTTGTAAAGACTCTTTAGGCCAACACCTCAGCAATCTCCTGATGTGGCTGATCAATGCAAACGGGCACAAAGGTGCTCTTGTTGAAATTAACTTGCAGCCCAGTGTACAGTGAGAACAACTCGAGGATTCCCTCGACAATCCTTGCTTGTTCGACGTTTCCTTGGATGTGCAGCAAAGTATCGTCTGCGTACTGCAGCACTGGGAAGAAGCTGTCCACTGCAAGGGGGCGTTTCAGGTCTCCGCGGCTAAACTAGAGATGCATAACTGCTGCAGCACGTTTGCAACCAAAATGAACAAATATGGTGACAGGTGGGTCTCCCTAACGGAGGCCACTCTTATTAGATGTGATTCCTAACTCCCCTTTAATCATGACACTGGAAGAGCTAGTGCTTAACAGTCTTTGAATCCATCATATCCACCTTTGTCCGAAACCCCTAGCCCTCATTATGTGGACGCCGACACTGTCGAAAGCCTTCTGGAAGTCGAGTTCCAAAACAAAACAATCATTGGTTTCTTCCTTCTCTTTGTTTGTTGCACTAGCTCCGCTGCTGAAGCAAAAAAAAAGTTTTCGACAATGCATCGACCTGCTTGGAAATCAGAATGCAAGGGGTGTACCAGAATGGGGATTCTTCATTGTAAATGGATTGCGAGGACCTTGGTGGCTAGCTTGGGGATACTGTGTACCAGAGAGATGGGCCTGAAGTCTCTGATATCCATCTCAGCCTCCTTCTTTGGCAATAAAACTATGGTGGCAGAATTGATCCCGGGCAGCTCCGCGGTGTTTTCATGAAACTCTCTGAAGAAGAAGCCGTCGGGGCCTGGGCTTCTGTTACCCGGTGATCGGTTGATAGCATCAACAATCTCAGTCTCAGCTCAGGAGATAGGTTCATCCAACATACGATCTCTCATCTTTGCTCGTCGTCTCCACATGCTAGTTCGCCACAGAATCAGGCTGTTGACACAGATCAAGAATCAAGAGAGCAACAATGTACAGGCTTGAGATGACATGGATTCAAGTATCATAGCATTTTCACATGCTAATCACTTGGGACATCACAATAGCCATAGCCTATAGCCGAACAACTGAATTCGATCAGCTCCTTACGAAAATCAACCATTTACCGAATAAAGTCACACTTGATTCACCATTATCCATAAACCAACAAGTAACAAGCAGTACACAGGATATAAGGTGCCATTAGAGGCACTACTTGTTGAGCGGCAATTTTATTTAGGCGAATACTACTCCGGTAGGTGATTACTGGGCCGCGTGTAGCCCAACCTTGGTCGTCAGTTCCTCCTTGATAGCTCCGACAACCCTGTCCTTGACATCTCCTTCCTTCATGAACAGGAAGGTTGGCATGGCCTCCACGCTGAATTGCTCAGCAATGGGCTGTTTAAACAACACAAAAGGCTTTGTTAGTAACACAGCTCTGAATCTGTACGAGGATACTCTGTAACCAGCGCTGTCAGTTCCATTACCTTCAGTTCATCAACGTCGACCTTGAGGAAAACAGCAGCTGGGAACTTCTTGGCGAGATCAGCGAAAATTGGAGCCATAATGCGGCATGGTCCGCACCATGATGCAGTGAAGTCAATCACCACCTGTTACAGAGAAAACAAGGTTAACATGACGATGACCTATACTGGAGTTAACAAGTGTGCCTAATTCAAAACAGCACCATAATGCTATTGCTAATTCAAAACCATAAAAGCCTATACCAGAGCTTGCAATCCCAGTTATAATCTACTACTCCCTCCGTCCAGAAATACTCGTCATCAAAATGGATAAAAAGAGATGTATCTAGAACTAAAATACATCTAGATACATCCTTTTTTATCCATTTCGATGACAAGTATTTCCGGACGGAGGGAGTACCTCTGTAAGCTAATACAAGACATTTTATTAGATCACTAAAGTAGTGATCTAAAACAGCTTATATTAGTTTAAAGAGGGAGTACATTACATTGCTGTGATTGTTCCAGAATTTCTGAGTTGAAATTCCATGAAAAGTTTGTTAACTCCCCGGCAAAGGATACATTACAAACTAAATAATAATAATCATATGAAGTCATGGTTCAGGGTTTCCGTGAGTTAACACGATCATTCTTACTATACAAACTTGAATAGACGCGATCTAGATACAAAATATTGGTGCAAATTTGTAGCAGTGCCCAAAAGGGGATAATTGCAAGCAGTTCCTACAATCTGAAAAGGAAACAACAAAAGGACTCTCCAATCTCCATCCAACACCACAAAACTCGTGAGGCAGCACAGCGCAGAAGAAGTGTTGCAAAATTATGTAAAGAGATATGCCATCAAGACGTGTTTCAATATATACACCATTACACAGGATTGAGGCAAACAATACACACATGTTCTATCACAACATAATATCAACACATGGCAGTGGTTTCAGACGATTCAAAGAAAAGAACAAAGACCTTGAAAAGTGAGGTGCCCTCTCTGCGCTACAATATGTCAAATATGACGCCATGAGATTTCTCCGCGACCTACTGGGGTATGACTAACTAGCTTAACAAAGCCCTGACGTGCAGCTAACTAGTGCACACGGTCTAGACCTGAAACTGTCTGTTTTTGCTGCAGTTTTTCCTAGTGACAAATTTTAGATCCCGGCATCCCTGAGATCGGGGAAACAAAATGGCACCAAATATTCTCTCTGAATAATCCAACATACAGTAATCCAACTCCCTTAAGCAAAAAAAAAAAAGAACTTTCATCTCCATCCATACACCACAAAACTAGTGAGGCAGCACAATGCGGAAACAATGCTACTATAAGAGTCATCTAAAGAGCTGTGCCATCCGCATCATGAAAAGATGTTCTATTGCAGCATAACCAACACTGGTTTCAGACAAAGAAAAGGGGGAAAAAAGATCTTGCAAATAAATAGAGGTGGCCCCCGCTACAATGTCTCAAATCTGATGCCATGAAATCTTTCTCCGCCCTACTGGAAGTGTGACCAACTGGCTTAACGAAGCCCTGACGTCCAGTTGAGTACCACTACCAGTACACACGGTTAAGAAGTACTGAAACTGTCTGCTACCGCTGCAATATTTTCAGTCACAAATATCAGATCCCCGGCAGCCCTACGATGGGGGAAAAGAAACTGATACCAGTATATGCTCTTCGAAACATCAAACAATCCAACCTTACTAAGCAGAAATTCGTCCTCGGGTGGCCGCTACATGTAAAAACTCATTCACCAAACAGTAATTACTCCTATGTTCGAGATTCGGCTGACTGAAACAAACACAGACGCTCCACGGCTCGAGCAGGATCTGAAAAATAAAAACCAGCGCCTAGGGCATCCGCGTTCCTGCCGCTTTGCAGAAGCGGGGAAGGGGAGGCAGAGGGGGAGAACGGAACCAATCAATCAGGAGATAGATAGATGCGTATACCAGCTTCTTGGCGGCGTTGGCCTCCTCGATCTGCATGGTCCACTGCTCCAGGCTGTGGACGGAGATCACCTCCCCCGCCCCTACCGCCGCCGCCGTCGCCGTCGCCGTCGCCGCCGACGCCGCCATCTCTCTCTCTCTCTCTCTCTACTGGGCAAGCACCGCTTATTTCTCACGCGCACTTTGTTGTTGCCTTGTGGGCTCTGTCTCGAATCCCGGCTCGCCTCCCCAAATATATTGTCTTTGTCCGGCAGGAATCGGATTTTATCCTGCGGGGCGGCGTTCGCTATGACGAATATACCCTTTTCTCCTGCGCGAAATTACGGCGGAGCCCCTGCGGGCCGTAGCTATCCGGACTGGGACTGTTGAACGGTCAGATGGGCGTGTCAGCGTGTGCATTCAAACGGGCGGGCCACCTGAGGGATGTGTGAACAGCTTGTTAGAGTCGTACTCGCTCCGTTTCTTTTTACTCGTATATAAGATTGAGGTAAATATATTCACGGTCTTAAAACTTGTATTGGATGGTCACTTTGATGCACAACCTTGCAAAATACGCGTTTGTGGTCACGGAACTTGCTAAACGGTGCAAATACAGTCACTCCCTTCGTACACAGACGTATGTGGAGACGCCAGCGTGGCATGGGCCCGCTGTCAGCGACCATGGCCTTCCAGCGAGGCGTGCGCGCGGTCACTTTAAAGAAAACCGCATGAGTTTATTTTTTTGCGCAAAAAAGCCCCTGGAGACACGGGAACAGAGCGCTTTGCAAATAAGTGTATAGGTACCCCAAAATCGTTGGCAGCCCATTGTAAACTCCCCACCGCTTCGTCTTCCTTCTCTGTCGATCGTTCCAAGGTGCTGGCGGAGGCGGAACTGCGGCACGGCGGCCGTCGTCGGAGGACATGGAAGAACCACGCTGAAAGATCGAGGATGTCGCCTAGAGGGGGAGTGAATAGGCGCTTTAAAATAATTACGGTTTAGGCTTGAACAAATGCGGAATAAACCTAGCGGTTAATTTGTCAAGCACAAAACCTACAACAACTAGGCTCACCTATGTGCACCAACAACTTATGCTAAGCAAGATAAGCAACTATGTGATAGCAAGATATATGACAAAGAACAATATGGCTATCACAAAGTAAAGTGCAT